GTGGCCTCCGATACGGGCAAACCCATTGACGGCAGCGGCGGCAAAAGTACCAAGGCCAAGGGCAAGAAATAATAATTTTACCATCAATTAAATGCTTAAAAATTTATTGTAAATTTTTTATATTTTTATATGTTTTTTAGTTTGTTTTCTTTCTCTCTCTTCTCTAAAATGTCTTATTATTTATTATTTTCAATAAACAAAACAAAACTTTTTATTGCTTTTAATTGAATTCAATTTATTGATTGTAAACTAAACTTGAAATATAACGACAGTTAAGTCAGAAATGGTTAGATTTAGGAAACGACCGATTTTTGGACAGACATAACAGTTGGCCAGAAATGTGCGGAAAGCAAACACATGCCAAACGCCGTCCACCCGTTTGGACAACTCTTTGCTCATATATTTGGCTAAATCTGTCAAACTGTCGGCCGTTTTAATACAGTTTAAGGCAATCTCTTTAACTATAAATATGTTATCGTCACTCATATCACTCTTTTCGATGATTAACTCGTCGGCTATTTTGCCACTTCTCAACAGTTGTGACAACTTTGTTATGTTTATCTGTTTTAAGCATATATTAAATTTCAGTTATAATTATCATATGAAAGATTAATTATTGTCATTAATCTTATGAAACTGTAATTGCGATGAATGTCGTAATTAAACGCTAATTACAATGAAAAATGTCATATAAATAATAATAAACAACACTAACGTCATCATAGACTTTATGGACAGTGATCTTAAGCTTCCCGAAGAGTATTATAACGATAAACATGTCGTCAAATGTGAAGGAATGGCTGCCGATGTCATCGTAAAAGGCGGTGCAGTGCCAGAGGCCGTCCATTTCGCACTCAATCGACTCCTTAATATAAGCTTCCCGAAGAGTATTATAACGATAAACATGTCGTCAAATGTGAAGGAATGGCTGCCGATGTCATCGTAAAAGGCGGTGCAGTGCCAGAGGCCGTCCATTTCGCACTCAATCGACTCCTTAATCGTTTTGCACAAATCAAACACATTTTGCTCGCAATTCAACGCTTGTGTGGCAATCGATATGATCTGCGCTGTCATCGCATCCGATGTGTCCCTATGGCTGACCACCGGTGCGTTACTGTATTGTCTCGACTCCACTATCATCTGGTAATCTGTTAGCTATGATAAGAGTACTGTTAATCCGACGATTGTCTTTCTAGCAATTAAATTAATTTAATGCAAACTAAGTAATGTATAATAAGCTGTAATACTTTAGGAAAGTTATTCGCCTTCAAAAGGGGACTCTTTGTGGTCAGTTTGTGAATGGTTTGCAAAAGTGTCTCCTTTTCTCGTTTACATTCCCGTAATCTGTCGTTCAATAAGTGATTTGAATCGCTAATCGTTTGGACGTCTTCTCTGAGCACTCGGTTCTGTTGGAGAAGACTATCGACACAATTGTGTTCACTGAGTGTTTCGCACAAACATTTGCCGCAAGTTTTCTTATTGAAACGACAGGTAATTATATGGTTGTCATGACATTCAAGGGTCAGCACTTCATCGCATCCCTTGTCTTTGTGGGGGCAAAGAAGTCGTAAATTGGACAACATATTCAACACAAGCCTTAAGAGATAAATATTAAAAGTTATATTAATTATTTTTTAATTAACACAATTGCGTGAAAACATTTTAATTAAATTATCTTATAATTGCATAATAAAACTTTGTTTCCATATTTACATATTAAGAAGTTGTTTAATTAAGGCATAATAAATATGCAAATAAACCGATAACTATAATAAAAGTTTTAATGCATTTTGACCTCTAAATGCTAGAGGTTTGGCCCATAGAGGGGACAGAGGGTTGCATACCTGGGCGGTCGCACCAAATGAGTTGATTTTAACTTTTTGCGATCGTAAGGACAGGTGCTGTTGGTTGAGAGCCAACCGATAATACAGTCCTCGCAGAAAGTTTGCTGACAACAGGGGCTGACGAGTGGACACCGGAATATGTCCTGACATATACTACATGTCAACTCTTGTCTCTCGTTATGCGTTAAGTCGATAAAGCGGTCCAAATCATAGCCCGGCATTGCGTTCACAGTCTATGTTCACAAATCACTGCCACAAACGTGTGTTTGATATTAGTTTTTATTAGCAAAAACAATTCGCTAAACAAATATTAATTGATTTTCACTAAATGTCACATTAGTTCAAACAATACGATAAGTGAGAAATTAATTGGTGTTTAACATAAGTATCCCAAACACGGATATAAACTTGATTTGTATACCTTATGCTATGGATGTGTTTCACAATAAGCAAAAGGTTTGTTATGAAAGTGATAATCGCTTTGGTTATCGTGCAGTCTATTAAGCAATAACATCAATATTATAACTAAATAATATTTATAATCAATATATAAACTTCATACTATTATCGACCAGGCCGACTTTTAATTGCCATATTAGAGCTAAAATTTATCACGTTACACTAAAAATATACATGACACTACAGTTGGAATAAGCTAGTGTACTTTAAATTTGTTGTAACTTAAACATGGATTTAAGTTTATAATGGTTAGTAGATTAGACAAAATCATATACAAAATTCTTTAGGATTGATTAATAATAATTTTAAATGAATTCAAAGAATATGATGATAAATTACTGAAACATTTTACGTTATTTCTAGTTATTCATTGTAACGCTTAATAAATTGCTAATTTCTATCACATCAATACATATAATTGTTTTTATGAATTCTTTAACAGTGAATCTCGTTATAGACTCTATTGATAGATAATAATACAAACTGAATACAAACTAATTAAATAAATACGTGCATTACATGTGCTATAAATTATTTCTTTATCAATATATTTACCTTAATTTCAGTAAAGAATAGGAAATAAATATGTGAATCACGAAACCCTTGACGGAATCACAACATTATTATCAATTATTTTAATCATTCAATGTATTAATTATTGCAGATATACTGTACTCAATGTTTTTCCTGCCGAAAATGTGTCCGTGTTTTATATACTAATATTAAATTAACAAGTAACAACACAAGTAACAAATAACTGTTAAAATAATAAACAGGGTATTAAATGTTTACACATTTTTGGAGTAATGAAATGATTTCTCGTTAATTTATTTGTTTTCTACCATATATTGTATTATGTTTGAGATACTTTTAACATGCCAACATAAGTTAACTATGCGGATTCATAAGTGAAATGCCGGTTGGCCAGGGTACTTAATGAAAATAACTAGTGTACCTTTATGAAAAGTTATTTTGTTATAACTTATAAGTTATTTTGTATACAAAATATCTTTCATGTGAAAATCTAGAGGCGCTTTACTTGTATAAAAAGCTTAACAATTCATTAATTCTATTAAATTTATTAAGTAGTGAATTAACTAATCATTGAATATATGAAATGTGTTGATTAGACAACTGGTTGTGTCGATAAAATATAACTTTTTGGTTGAGGGGTTGAAGGGATACAACTGGCATGTGATTTACCTTTGCTATATTTATTGTATATAAATATCACATTTAGTGAATCATATTTATTATCTATACTAATTAATCCAACAATTAATTAATTACTTTGTAGAATTATTTATCAGTTCTATTATAAATTATATCTTATAATAAAATAACTCATGATAAAGGTACACTAGTGATTTTCAAATACATTAAACATCTAGCTAACCGGCATTACACTTATGGATCTAGATGGAACCATATTTTAAAGTAGAATCGTTATTTTACTGTACATTACAAGAATTAAATAGCACACATTTTAAAATAATGGATATCATTATAAGATTTCTTAAACTTATTATCATGGAAATTTTGTTATTGCAAGTAATTTGACAGTCATTTAATGATTATGCATAAGATTATCAGACAATTAAATAAAAGTTAGTTAACATTAATGCTAATTTCATACCAAAATGCGAGTTGTTTTGAAATACAATTTCTGTAATTAACATAAAATATTTGGTTTGTAAGTCTATGACTGATTGTGGTAAACAATTGATTGTTTAATAATTTATTATTTAGATTTGATTAAATAACTAAATATAAGATATTTATAAAGCAAAGTCATCGAGCGTTATTATAAACCCTATTATTAAATTAATTATCAGTTTAATATGCAATAACACAATATAATAATTTTGTATATTGATAATAATTGTATAATGATATAAACACTCAAAATATATATCAATACAATATAAAGTGGTAATAATTGCTGACCAAAGATAAACGACAAACAATTGTGATAATAATTTGATAAGTAATTAGCAAAATGTGCGCTAAAATCAAGTTTTTGTTAAATAACTCAATAATAAAGTTTGTAAAATCATTACGAGTCGAGCCCTTTATGTTTATATTCATGTTTACCAATGGATTGACGGGACAGACAATTCAACAGTTAGTTCAGGACAAGACATGTCTCTATAGCTATGGTATGGGCGCCGAGTTTTGCGGTCAACTCAACAAACAGGCCAACAGTCCGGTTGAGAGTGAGATTCTGTCAAATGTGACCACATTTTCGTTGTACAAGAGTTTTGTCGAAACAATTCCGTTGATATTCTGGTCACTATTTTTGGGCGCCTGGGCTGACAAACACGCCGGCGCTCGTAAACTCACCCTAATTATTGTGGGCATTGCCTCTACTATTGAATGCTGTCTACTCTTTCTGAACGCATATTACTTTTCGTCGAGTATTTAACAATTAATAGCAATAACCATTTGTTAAATTAATACTTCATTCATTTTTCATAGATGTATACCTAATACTATTGTCCCTTTCGGGATTGTCTCTGTCCGGAGGGATGATGGGGGTTATGATGTCTACCATGAGTTACATATCCACCACAACAGACAGCAAATCCCGTACAATACGATTTATGATACTTGAAGTGATTGTGTTTGTGGGTATAATTCACTATCACTTGCGTAGAAATAATTCAAGTGTTTAACAAAAGTTTATTTTGATCGCAACAGCGCTTCCCATAGGAATGTTCGTTGGAGGGCAAGTGATCGGAGAGACAATTAACAGTCCAGGCGGACAATTGCATCGATATATGCTTGTGTTTGTCATCGCTTTTATCGCCAGATTATTGGCAACCCTTTGGATAACATTCATACCATTTGAAAAAGGGATCACAAAACTGGCAAATAATAACGATGTGATTGTCTACAGCGCTATCGAGTCAACCGTTGATATCGACGACGACATGATTGATGTGAGGGAAGAACGGGAACCGCTTCTTAAAAGGAGAGGAAGTAATACCACGAGGGATGACATACTTGATGAGGACGTGTTGCCACAAGAGTCTAGTGATAATCAATCAACTGATGGCCGAGAAGAATGCGTTCACTGGTATCACATGTTTAAAGATTTGTTTGATATGCAAAATGTACGCAATGTGTGGTTCGCTTACACCAAACCCAGACCTAATGGCAAGAGGGCTAAGATATGGCTCTTAAACTTGTCGATGAGTGTGATTATGATGTCTGTCTTCGGTGTAATCAATATTATGTTTCCATACGTCCAACGGGTGTATGAATGGGATTCCGAGCAATTGTCAACAGTGAACGCCCTGTCCTTATTGGTCACATCGGCGCTCATTATGCTTATAGTGCCGGCACTTATCAAGCGATTTCACGCCTCGGACAACACCCTATCAATTATGGGCACAATTAGCAACTGTTTAATGAATATAGTGTTGGGCGCCTTTGCCAATGAGACGGCATATTATATCGCAAACATATTGGGATCGATGCGTTTGGTGACCGCGGGAACCGCTCGCTCTCAGGTCTCCTTTCTTGTCGATCAGTCGGAAGTGAATAAAATATTTGCAATGATGTCTACCTTTGACGAGATTGCAAAAATTGTCGGATCACTCGTATATACGGCTATATTCAACGCAACCCTTGTTAGCTATCCGGGGGTTGTGTTTCTCTTCACCGCGGGTTTGCTTTTAATACCGTTAATCTCTTTTGTTTATATTTCTTATAAGAAATATTGAGTTTATTTTGTGATAAGTTATACGTATTTTATCACAATATTGTGATTTATTTTAGAAATTATGGTATAATTTAGTGACAATTAACCGAATCTCACAAAACTATGGAAAGCATCTCATGTTTAAATTTATTGAAATTTTGATGTACTTATTATTTACTATGTTCAAAATTGTTTTTACTTTAAATTATATTGAATTATTTGAAACTCAATAAAATAATGATTTACTAAGTTACATGATCTTTAAATTAATGTTTTATTAAAAATATCCTGCATTTGTTTACGTCTTGAGCTCCACCGGGGGGTCGAGGGGGTCCACTAACCCGCCGCCACCACAAACAGCACACTAATCTCTCAGACCGGGTGGACTGTCCCGACTCCCAGCACCGCATGACCAGTGATGACGTGGACTATGCGGACTCCCAACACCCCTGTCCACCATATGGTGAACAGTCGGACTGTCCGACACTCCCAACACCC